CAATGGTTAGTAGCAGCACCGCCGGACTTATGACCTAGGGTGCCCCGGACGATTCACAATTCAAATCCCACGTCCGATACTGCGCAAGTTAAGATCATCACTCATCATCACTTCTACTCCAAATGGTTGCACCTGATTTGTTTGGGAGCGGGGCGAACACGAGTTAGACCAATAGATGTGAAATCAGTAGGTAAGGAAGTTAGGATTGGTTTGAACTTGCCCTTCCCATCGATCAATAAATAGATAGGCCCTGACCAGCTTGCCTATCTGAGAAGCGATTGAGTAAGCCAGTAAATGGGCACCGAGCACATTAACGTTCATCATTTTCGAGGACTCTGTTACTTGGCCCATGAATTTCTCCCAAAGAAAGATCGTTACTGACCAGTAAAAAGGTTCGCTGCTCTCCATTTCACTGACGAAATGCCTCTTTCGAGCGAGAACAGGGGGGTGAGGAGAGTCTACTCTGTAATTGGCATTTGAACCACTTTAAGTCACAAAAGCAGGGTTCCTCCAAATTTCGCTCTAGCAACTTTCAGAAGGCATATTCAGAAGGCAAGAAGGTATATTTCTTTTTTTCGAATTAATTAACCTTGCTCAGCATAAATAAAGGGGGAGGCGGTGATCCAGATTGATGATTCAGATCCCGGATCGTAAAGGCCCTAGTCCGAATCTCGCATTGTACGGGCCGTAGTTTAAATCCTGGATGCTCAAGAAAGCCAATGAAGTCTTTATCCCTTCGGGATCGGGTAATTGCCGGATTGTCTGGGAGGATAAAAGCACTGACTTGCATTTCTACATGTAGGCCACACACGAATTCAGAAACGGCACTATCATTCTGAGTTGAAGTGAAGGGAGGGGGGGAGGGGGTGTAAGGAGGAGGGCGCACTCCAAAAACGAGACAAATTCACGCGCTCAAGAGTATCCTTTATTCTTGTCCTCAACATGAGTAAGTGGAGGTCATCATCTAGATTTAGGCCATTTTGAAGGACAGGAAGGTGCGGTGCTATTACTTGATCAGTAGAGGAATGATTAAGTGGGTTTCGATGGTCATAAAGGCGCCCAAATACTCGGTTGAACAGTTTCATGAGCCATTTCCTTCGCTAGGTCTTCGAGGAAAGCGAATTCACCACAAAATTGGCTCTTCAAGGTACTTATCAGTCTAATGTGTTGACGTTTTGGTAAACTAATTTCAATAGATAAACAGCTATTTCAAACTATTGTGAGTTATCACAGACTGTTACAACAAGTCGGAACTTACAATTAGAGTACAGGGCACAGAGTTCGGCCTTATCCAGACTTCCCCTTATCAATGAATTAACAAAGAGCCAGAAATTCTTGGGACGGGAGGGAGGGGGGGAGGGGAGGCATGGACTAACTTTTGCTCGGAAAAACTGCCTTGGAGGCCGTCCAACCTTTCCTGCCGCTTACAAACATTGCCAAGAATGTTAACCAGTTGGAATGATGAAGGAAAAGAAAAAACTAAGTGAACGCATGTATACCAACAAAACAGGTACAGGCCGCTGTTCAGGAAAAAATAGGGTTTGGAAATCCTACACAGATTATGAAAAGTACCAAATGTACCGGGGAAAACTCGCGGTATCGTAGAGTCGCCCGTTCAAAGGAAAGCCCAGAAGCCCTTCCGCACGAAGCCGTGCCTACCAAGGTACATTCACGAGACTCGCCAACGATAAAAGTCCTTTTCGACCAATCTCACTTACAAATACAAAGTTCCTAAAATGTGAAAAGTACTCTTGGAAATAATATATATCGAATGGTTTCGTCTGTCAACTGTTGTTCACAGAGTTCGCATTGGCAGGACTAGCGTAAGGGTGCAGGGTTTAGAGCAGTACAAAAGTCAGCCTTCTGCTAGACTGGACTCTACAACATACCTAGCCGCCAACAAAAGTCTCCCTCGCTTCCCCTCGGATTTCCAAGAGGAATTGCTACCTGAGTTGTATTCTATTACAACATTTTACATTATGTTACCACGTATTATCTCTGTTTGGTAGCATTCACACGAAGTTAACAATCGGGATGTATCAGTAAAATGCCATCGGTCAAGTAAAGCAGTGTAATCCACAGAGCATAGATGGATTACTGTGTAATTGCCCTTGGATATCTGGGGAAAGTCTGTGGCCGAGTGGTATGGTACGGTGTAAGGAAAGCAGGCATGCAAGTTCGAGCTCCGGCTAGGACCAAAACTTTTACCCATCGCTCGAACCTTTAAAACAAAATAGCAGCAATAACTCTTTGAAAGAAAACCTCCATCTAATAAACAAACAAAGAACTTCTTTTTGAGCAAACAAAATAAACTGAAGCAGTAAGAGTGGTAAACAAAAGTAAACAAAGGAAAAAAACGACAAAAAAAAGATCGAGAATCAAACGAATTTTCCACTGCTGGTGCGAGTTTTCGACGAAAAGCCTAGAAGGCTGAAGTCAATCGCCTTCGCTGTCACAGTGAATAAACGACCACTTGGGTCTCCCTGCGGAGAGGAGAGGTGAAAGGCGCGGCTTCGAAAGTTCCCCCATCAGGGCAGTACTACTTTTTTCTGAAGGGCAGTGAAAAATCGCCGAAGAGCAATCCTTTGGGACACCCACACCAGCATGGATGAATGGGAAAGTGCAATGATGAGATGGAATGAACAATTATAATCGCCTTTTACGTCACAACTATCGTTATGCTCTCAAATCAATCAAACCGCCCAAATGGGTAATCGTTCAAACAAGGCTTTATCATTAAGCATTCCCCAGGGAAAAGCGTTCTTCAGGGAGAAAAAAAAATCACCGAGAATACGTGATAGTGCAAAGGCTAGAGGGCCAACGATGGCTGGCGACACAAACAACAAATTAGTGGCCTTTCAGAAACTCCAAAAAGGCAAGTGATTTGTAGATAGTGAGTAATTTGAGAGAGTATTCGTCCCTTCGGATCCTTTTGGGGGAGAAAAATGGGTGATTTCTTGGAATGGTGCAGCACGGAGGGTCTGGTTCCACTAGAAATCCGGATTATGAAGTAAAGAATTATCCCTCCCTTTCTAGGGCTTTGAATCGCAGGTGCCCTTCCGTATTCGGGAGGATTTTCTGAACCGTGTTTGGGTAAATTTGTTCAATAATGAAGGGTACAATTCACGATAATTTTGGGTTAACTAGTATTAAT